GATATATAATAAGTTTGGGTGCATTCAATATGAAAGAGGAGAATTACGGTTGGACAGACATATAGCGCAAATGCCAGGTTTTGTTTACGTGTTTATTTTTTTGTTTTTTTTTTAATTTGACAATTTTTATTTGTCTTTTCATAGGATGATGGGGTACAGAAAGGAAAAGTGGGATGGGGTAAACCTTAATCCATGCACAATAAAATGATACAAAACAAGTGTTGTATTATTGATTACTCATTCGTCACACTAGGCATATTTAAGTATTGTTCTGTTGTACATCTTACACAGTTGGTTGCTAGGTGGTCTTTGTCTAGTAACATTCCTGTCTAGTGGTGGATGACCCATTCCATTATGTTTCCGTGTCCGCTCTCAGTATGCTAGGGGATGTATAGTTTGATTATCGAGCTAGGGGATCAGTATGTGTCAGATGCGACTCGAGCATTACAATTATATTAGGACAATTTCACCTTATAGTGTGAGAATCTTCTCCCCTAAACTTATTTTTTTTTTTTTTTATGCTTTGTCAAGTTCGTATTGTTTATGCATATAATATAGCGGGGGGTACAGAAAAGAAAAAGGGGAGGGTGAGCGGTTAGGGTACATTGTTCATATTCATGCTTATACATGTTAGACATTCCTAACGATCTTGGTCTTATATGGGTGGTATCGTGTTGCTAGTGAGGTGGGTCAAGGTCCAGCCATTCGCCTTGTGGTGCCCTATCCCAACTTGAGTTCCCTATGACAAATTATTGTCGCCTTAGTTGGGGGGGAGGGGGTGGAGATTGGGAGAGGTGGGTATGGGGAGGAGGTAAGGAGGGTGTGTGGACATGGCACCATTCACGTATTGCTCCTGTTTCCTTGTCATGCTTCGTTTATTATTTGCAGAGTGGTGGTACCTTACCCCTCGAACTATGTACATTGTGGGTTCATATTCCGCAACGCCCTGAAGCTGATGTGCTGTTTGGGCAATTCCCAGATATCTCGTATTGGCCTCTTTGGTGGGGACCTTCTTCTCTAGACCGCTGTTCTAGTGGTTGACCTACTCGTCTTACACTCTCCGTCCTGTATCTCTAAATCCAGCCTCTGTTTTTTGGGGGATTTTTTTGTTTGTTTGTTTTTTTTTTTTTCCTTTCCTTTCCCCGTCTATATCTCCTCCCCCGTCTTCGTTATGTAGGTTTCCCACTCATCTCTGGCTTGTATGATATGTTTTGCTGGGCGAAACTGCTGGCTAGTCCCTATTTCGTAGGTCAGGTTGAGTGACGTCTGTTCTATCAGGTCAGTCCTAGTGGGTGCCTGCGTCTGTTTCCATCTCCTGGCTAACAGGAGGTTTGCTGCTGTCAAGATGTGAAATAATAGGCCCGCTTGTGGTTTTGGGTGGGAGTCCAGTGATATAAATAGTAAGGCACATTCTGGGCTTAGCTTAGTGTCGACTCTTAATGCTCCCCTAACTGTTACCTCCACCATATTCCAGTATTCCTTGAGCCTTGGGCAGGTCCACCAGATGTGGTACATTGTGCCCTCTCCTGTTAAGCATCTCCAACATAATTTGGAGGTGTTAGGGTAAATGGTCGCCAGTCTCGTTGGCACCAGGTACCATCTGTATTTTATCTTGCGCATGAGCTCTAAGTGCAATGCACATCTGGATCTGCCTTTATGAGCCGTAAAAGCCAGGGTCCATTGGTCATCTGAGAATACTGTACCTATGTCTCTGTGCCATGCATCTCTAAATTTGTCTGTCTGTAATTGTTGGTTGGAGTCACTGAGCAGTGTATATAGTAGTGAGAGTGGTTTCTTAGGCATGGTCATCGATACACACACTCTTTCTACTCTTTGTGTATGTTGTGGAATATTTATGGAGGTGTCATGTGTTAATATTCCCTTTAGTTGCAGGTAAGAGAATATCATTCTTTGCGGAAGGCCGTACTCTATTTGTAGTTCTGGGAAATGTCTCAGTTGTCCCTGCCCGTACAGGTGTTTAACTAGGGTACATCCTTATTCCAGCCACGTACGGTGGTCGAAAGCAGGGTATGCTAGATGTATGCTATATATGGGAGTGGCCAGCGCCCAGTCGGTGGTATATCCAAGCTTTCAATAGGATATCAGTGGTGGCTGGTATTTCCGGGAGCGGTGGGCATAGCCTGTGTGGTACCCAGAAGAGGTATTTAAGACCTTTGGGACAAGTCCAGGTTGATTCCATATCTATCCATTGTGGTGGGTTTTGGGCCGTGTGTGCTTGTAGGGCTGTGGTCAGTAGTGCTGCTCTATAGTACCTCTGTACCTCTGGCATTCCCAACCCTCCCTGAGCTAGGGTTCTAGTGAGAATCTTCGTGGCTACTCGTATTTTTTTGTGTGCCCAGACGAAGGTAGTGATGGTATTCTGCAGCCGTCTCAGGTATGTGTTTGGTAGGGGGGTCTGTAGAGTTCTAATTAGGTATTAAAATTTTGGTAGGAGCATCATCTTCACTGCCGCCAGTCTCCCCACCCATGACATATATTTATCTTCCCATTTCTTCAGTGTGTCGCCTATTTCCCCCTGTAGTTTGCCATAATTAAGGTCCATAAGACCTTGTGGAGTTTTCGGAATCCGTAGACCCAGAAACGTGAGGTGGTCATCTCTCCAGTCCAGTGGGAATGGGAGTTTTAGGTGTTCTATGGTATGATGTTGTATCCCTATCCCCATAGCTTGGGTTTTCCTTTTATTTATGATAATTAGGTCATGCCTGGGCAATTTAATCTCTGATCTGTGGCAATTACTTTGTCTTGAGAAAGTCCCGTGGGCGGGACGAAACGCGTCGACGAGTCACAGCTGATTACGTGACGTTCTGCTCTGTTGCTGTGGGGAGCTGTAGTGTTTGCCGGTGTCTGTCGGGAGTTGGTTTCTCACACCGCGGTCTTTTTTGAAGACACCGACCGCGGTGTAATACGCTATATTCAGTTTGTGGGTGAGTCTCTGCCCCACTGGTGGTTTGTGTTTCATCTGCTTTCCATCCACACCGCGGTCTTTTTTGAAGATCCCGACCGCGGTGCAACATCTATTTGTCCTCTTTCGACGGATCCCTGTCCTTTGGCCACAACTATCTCCCTTGATTTGTACCTCGGTGGGGGCCCCCACCGAGGCAAGGTACTTTTATCTTGTTTATTTGATGCCTATTTCATTTGTAATTTTTTTGTTAGCTTTTGTTATCCCTCCAGATACTTTGTTTTCACACATTGTAGCCTTAGTATCTGTCAGGTGCTTACTCTGGCTTCATTATTTGTCAGGATTTGCTCATTCATTGATATTTTATTTTGTCAAGTACCTTTCAGCAACAGATCAATTCAATTATGTTCTTATATATGTTTTCTTTTTTATTTATTGTTATGATCGATTTGTAGATTTTTTATCTATTAAATATATATTTGTACTTTAAGTGTTACTTTAATATTTTAGGAGCGCACATATTTTTACATACTTTATGAGCTTACACTCATTTTAGGTCGCTTGTAGTTATATGTTGTAGCCCATTTTATTGTTTAATATTAATTACACCTTCTCACCAGTTTTCTACATCCTTTTTCCAGCCACGTACGGTGGTCGAAAGCAGGGTATGCTAGATGTATGCTATATATGGGAGTGGCCAGCGCCCAGTCGGTGGTATATCCAAGCTTTGGCTTGGATTTATCCCAGGTTTTCAATAGGATATCAGTGGTGGCTGGTATTTCCGGGAGCGGTGGGCATAGCCTGTGTGGTACCCAGAAGAGGTATTTAAGACCTTTGGGACAAGTCCAGGTTGATTCCATATCTATCCATTGTGGTGGGTTTTGGGCCGTGTGTGCTTGTAGGGCTGTGGTCAGTAGTGCTGCTCTATAGTACCTCTGTACCTCTGGCATTCCCAACCCTCCCTGAGCTAGGGTTCTAGTGAGAATCTTCGTGGCTACTCGTATTTTTTTGTGTGCCCAGACGAAGGTAGTGATGGTATTCTGCAGCCGTCTCAGGTATGTGTTTGGTAGGGGGGTCTGTAGAGTTCTAATTAGGTATTGAAATTTTGGTAGGAGCATCATCTTCACTGCCGCCAGTCTCCCCACCCATGACATATATTTATCTTCCCATTTCTTCAGTGTGTCGCCTATTTCCCCCTGTAGTTTGCCATAATTAAGGTCCATAAGACCTTGTGGAGTTTTCGGAATCCGTAGACCCAGAAACGTGAGGTGGTCATCTCTCCAGTCCAGTGGGAATGAGAGTTTTAGGTGTTCTATGGTATGATGTTGTATCCCTATCCCCATAGCTTGGGTTTTCATGACATTAAGTTTGTAGTATAATTGCTCCCCATATCTTTCTATTTCCTGCAGGAGATTTGGTAGTGATATGTGCGGTTGTGTAAGTGTGAGTAGTATGTCATCTGCAAACAAGTTTGTTTTGTACTCTCTAGCTCCTATCTCCAGACCGTGTATCGCAGTGTTTTCCCGTATTTTGATCGCCAGCGGCTCCAGCGCCAAGACATATAACAGGGGGCAGCCCTGCCTTGTGCCATTTGTGAGTTGGAATGGTTCGGACAGAAAATCCTGCGTTGAGTACTCTTGCTGAGGGCTTGCTATATATGGCCTGTACCACTGACACAAACCCCAAGGGGATCTCGAACTTGTTAAGCACTGCTCTAAGAAACCCCCAGTGGAGGCGGTCAAAGGCTTTTTCGGCGTCGAGGGAGACCATCAGTCCCCCCCGATGCCGATTTTTCAGGTGGTGGAGGATGTTAATGACCTTCCTGGTATTGTCTGCCCCCTGTCTTCCCTTGATGAAGCCCACCTGGTCATTGTGAATTATGTGTGGTAGTATGTTTCCCAACCTATTTGCGTACAGTTTAGCGAATAACTTCGCATCTGTATTGAGGAGGGAGATGGGTCGAAAGTTTTGCGGTATTGTCGGGGTCTTGTTCGGTTTAGGGAGTGTGACGATGTGGGTGGCCAGTGTTTCTCTAGGGAGTTAGCCCTTGTGGGCTGCCTCCGTAAACATTCTGGCTAGGTAGGGCGCTACTATTGTGCTGAATTGCTTATAGTACTGATTGTCAAACCCATCCGGGTTTACGTTTTGTTTTGATCACAACTTGTACATTTGGCTGCGGTCTTAAGGGGTTAATATTTGATGCACTGTCTGTTTTTAAAAAGGAAGATCCGTAAGCTTTTTTTTTTGTATACAGAACCATATCTAGGATAAAGTTTGAAGGATAGTTTTCTTTAATGCACTAAATAAGCCCAAAAAAATCCCACCACATACCAAGTTATTTATAGGAAATTAATACGTTAGACTTTATCATTCACACCTTAACAACGAGTGACGGACCTCGTCCGTCACCCGTTAAAATTAAACCTGGATCGCCGCTATTGCGGCGATCGCGGGATTAATGGTGCTCCGGTCTGGCTCTGTATTAGAGGCAGACTGGGAGCACCCGATAGTGCTGCCCAGCACATGTGCTGTCAGAGCGAGTACATGTGCTTAGTATACTTCCCTTCCGCCTCCCTGCACTTCCTGGTTCTGTGTGAAGTGCAGGGAGCCGGAACAGTGATGATCCTGCCCACTGTTAAAAAATAAAGTTTATTTAAAATCCCACCCCCCTTTACTCATTTTAATTAAAAATTAACCCCTTCCCTGCCAATTGATCACTGACCACAGTGATCAATTGGCATGGATTACATTTTACTGTCATCTGATTCTTTTTAACCCCTGAGGTTTAATTCTTTTTTTTTAACCCTCGGGGTTAAAATTATTTAATTCATTTAAATATTTTAAAATTATATGTTTAGCTAGCTGGGGTGGGTGGAAGTTAGTGGGGAATTGGGGGATTTGGTTTTAGACTAACTAGGAGTTAACGTTAAAAAAAGTTTTCAAATAAAACTTTAAAAAGTTAAAAATTAAGCTAAAAAAGTTTAAGTAAAAAATAAAAAAACACCTCCCTTCACCCAGTCCAAATAAAAACTAACCCCTTCCCTGCCAGTCGATCACTGCCTACAGTGATCAAAATACAGATCACAGTATTATACTGTGATCTAATTTTTTTTTTAACCCCTGAGGATTAACTTTTATTTATTTTTTTAACCCTCAGGGGTTCAATTTATTTAATTAATTTAAATATTTTATAATTATATATTTTGCTAGCTGGGGTGGGTGGGAGTTATGGGAAAATGGGGAATTTACTGTTAGTGCTGCTTACTGCTGGTTAGGGGTTAACGGTAAAAAAAAAAAGCTTAGAAAAATGATAAATCTGTAAAAAAAAAAGGTTTTAAGGAAGTTTAGGAAAGTTTAAAAAAATTAATAATACAAATCCAAATCATACATACAAAAATGTAACAATGTAACAGTGACCAAATAGGCAAAAAAAGCTAAACCATATATTTACCAAATTCCACAAGCCTATATGGGCAGAAACACGAGTCACAAACAGTCCCCCAACGTTTCGGCTCCTCCTGGTAGCCTTGATAAAGGCTACCAGGAGGAGCCAAAACGTTGGGGGACTTGATAACGTCCCCCAAGGAGGAGCCGAAACGTTGGGGGACTTGATAAAGGCTACCAGGAGGAGCCGAAACGTTGGGGGACTGTTTGTGACTAGTGTTTCTGCCCATATAGGCTTGTGGAATTTGGTAAATATATGGTTTAGCTTTTTTTGCCTATTTGGTCACTGTTACATTGTTACATTTTTGTATGTATGATTTGGATTTGTATTATAATAAATATATATATAGATAGATACTATTGTATCAGTTGGTGTGCATTCCTTTCTTTTTGAGTATGTAGTTTATTGGTATTGGAGGGAGTACCTTGTTGGAATAGCACCCATAATTGTGGTGGTAATTATATTAAGTGTCTCTCCACATGTTACATTTTGTATGACTAAAAAAATTAATAAAACAAAAGTTTAAAAACTAGTTTTTAAAAGTAAAAAAAGTTTCAAAAAGTAAAAAAATACATTTAAAAACGCTCATTACCACTACACCTGGAACAAACTAGAGGAAAAATGATCCCAGGTTCAAAATATGCCTTTTGAATTACCCCAGGGTGTATTCTTTAATAAATAGTATGTGTTTATGGGGAAGTTTCAATAACCAACCGTCTAAACTACTCCAAATTGGAACATGGACACAGCGTAAAACTTCAAAGTTGGAAAAAAACTGAATGGCTGCATCTCAAATGCGCCCCTTCAACATCCACATATTCCTGGCAAAGGTACATACGGTGGTATTGATGTACTCAGACGACATAGCTGAGCAACATATGAAGTATTATACAGTCGTAGCACACATAAGGTTTGCAAAATATACTGTGCAAACTCACTTTGTGTGTCAAAAAGGCAGAAAAAACACTTATTACCACTACACTTGGTACAAGCTAGCGGAAAAATGATCCCACGCTAAGGTTCAAAATATACCCTGGGGTGTCTACTTTAAGAAATGGTAGGCCTTTGTGGGGTAGTTTGAATTTAAACCCTGCTAAGATGCTTGGAAATTGCACATAGGCCCAGCGTCAAAATTCAAAGTTCGGTAAAAACTGATATGGCTTGGTCTCATATGGCACTGTAGCTTCACGAAATAGTGCCAAAGACATTCATTGGGGGTCTCTTTTTACTCAGAAGACTTAGCCGAGCATAATTTGGGGGGTTTGAACTTAGTGGCACATGTGAAATATACAAAATGCCCAGCAAAAATGCAATCTATATGTAAAAAACGCACAAAATTATTTTTTATCACATACGTTAGCATATATTGGTGAAAAAATGGGGGCATGTTAAGGCACAATATGTGCACCTTATGAGATACCCTGCGGTGCCTATTTTTACAAATGCTAGGCCTTTGTGGGGTTTTTTTGAACACTCTTTTTTGAACAGTCAAACTGTTATAATACCCCAAATTGAAATATAGGCCCATCAAAACCGTCTCTAGAAATTCTACTGCAGTGGCGTACATACCAGGGTCGCAGGGGTCGCGGCTGTGACCGGGCCCGGCCCACCAGGGGGCCCGGCCGCCCCTGCGACCCGGTATGTACCCACTGGGCCAGCCGACCACCCCTGGCCCCCCCCCGAGGCTGGCCCTGCTGACCCCAGCGGGCAGGTGGCCGGTCGGGCAGGCGGGCGCGCGAGGGAGCACTCAATGCTTCCTCTTCAGCTCCCTTGCGCACCGCACTGATGCCGGAGCCGGCGCGCGAGGCAGCTGAAGAGGAAGCACTGAGTGCTCCCTCGCGCGCCCGCCTGCCCGACCGGCCACCTGCCCAGGAGCCCGCCCACCCAGTGACCTGCCGCCCAGGAGCCCAGCAGCACCACTGGACCCCAGGGAATCCCCCAGCACTCCAAAAGGTAAGGAGGCTGGGGGGATTAAATTTGAAGAAAAAAAATGTGTTTGTGTGTTAGTGTATGTGTGTGTTAGTGTGTGTGTGTGTCAGTGTTTGTGTTAGTGCGTGTGTTAGTGTGTGTGTCAGTGAATGTGTCTGTTATTGGGTGTGTGTCTGCTAGTGAGTGTGTTACTGTGTGTGTCTGTTACTGAGTGTGTTTGATGTCTGTTAATGAGTTTATGTTTGTAAATGAGAGTGTATGTTTTGTAAGTGAGTGTGTATGTATGTCTGTCGCTGAGTGTGTCTCTGTCAGTAAATGTGTGTGTCTGTTAGCTAGTGTGTATGCGTCTGTTCGTGAGAGTGTGTGTGTGTGTGTATTCAGCATTTACCTTTCTCCAGTGTCGGACTCCCCAGTGTCCGCCTCTCAGCTCCGAAATGCGCGCGCGCGCATTTAAACCGCCCATAGGAAAGCATTACTCAATGCTTTCCTATGGACGTTCAGTGTCTTCTCACTGTGATTTTCACAGTGAGAATCGCGGAAGCTCCTTTAGCAGTTGAGCTGATGTGATCTGGGTGTCTGTAGTGGTCCTTTAAGTATGTGTGCAGACCGGGGTCGCAGCCCTGCAACCCCTGCGACCAGGTGCCCGCCACCATGTGTTGCGATCCCGACCCGCGCCGAGTAAGCGCGCGCGGGGGGGTGTGCCACGGATCAATTTTTGCACCGGGGCCCCATGGGTCATGTGTACGCCACTGTTCTACTGTAAATACTGAAATGGACAGGTCTCCTAGCTTCTAAAAATAGTGCCAAAGACATTCATTAGGGGTATAGTTTTACTCAGAAGACTTAGCTGAGAATAATTTGGGGGCTTTGATCATAGTGGCACATATCAAATATACAAAATGCCCAGAAAAAATGTAATACATATGTAAAAAAATGCCAAAAACAACTTTTTTACCACAAACTTTGACATATATTGGTGAAAAATATAAAAGTTTTATACAGGAATAGCACACACCAATTTTACGAAATACACATGAGAAGATCTTTGTTATAAGTTTGTGTGTCAAAAAACCAAAAATACACAATATGTCTCCAATATTTAGCAGAAATTGGCGGTGAAATGGCTACGTAAAAAGTGTCAAAATAACCTTAGGTAAATAGCCAGTGAAGTCTACTTTATATAAATATACCGTATTTTTCGCTCCATAAGACGCACCTCACCATAAGACGCACCTAGTTTTTAGAGGAGGAAACCCAGAAAAAAAAAATATTCTGAACAAACTGTTCCATAGTGTTTCTTACCATGGGACAGTTTGTTCAGAATATTTTTTTTTCTCCCCTGTCCCATAATGATCTTTAACCCCCCTTTCCTCTGTCCCATAGTGATTGTTAACCCCTCCTACCCTGTCCCATAGTGATTGTTAACCCCTCCTACCCTGTCCCATAGTGTTCTTTAACCCCTCCTCCCCTTGTCCATTAGTGTTCTGATCCCATAGTGTCCCCCCCTCCCATTGTCCCATAGTGCACTTTCCCTCCCATAGTGTCCCCCCCTGCCCTTGTCCCATAGTGTCTCCCCTCCCCTTGTCCCATAGTGTCCTCCCTCCCCTTGTCCCATAGTGTCTCCCCTCCCTTTCTCCCATAGTGTCCCCCTCCCCTTGTCCCATAGTGTCTCCTCCCCTCCCCTTGTCCATAGTGTCTCCTCC